TATGTTGCCTCATTATTATCATTTTCTTTAATAAAATTATTTATTGTTTCTATGACTTGTTCTTTAACTTACTCATTCTTTAAAATTAGGTTATTTAGTCTCCAATTAATTTTAAATCTGTGTTTCTATGTTCTTTTGCTAAATGTAATGCTTATTCCATGATGATCTGTAAAAGATGCATTTAATATTTCTGCTTTTCTGAATTTAACTATAAAGTTTTTATGGTCTAATATATGGTTAATTTTTGTAAAGGTGCCATTTACCTCTGAGAAAAGATATATTCTTTTCTATTCCCATTCATTTCTCTCCATATGTCTATCATATCTAGCTTAACTAAGATTCTATTCATCTCCTTAACTTCCTTTTTGTTAATTTTTGTTAGGTTTATCTATTTCTGAGAGGGGAAGATTAAAATTCCCTACTATTATAGTTCTGCTATCTTTTTCCACCTGTAATTCATTTAGCTTTTCCTTTAAAAATTTGGATGCTACAGCATTTGATGCATATGTGTTTGGTATTGATATAACTTCATTATCTGTGATACCTTTTAACATAATGTAGTTTCCCTGCTTATCACTTTTCATTAAATCTATCTTAGCTTGAACTCTGTCTGAAATCATGATTGTTACCCCAGCTTTTTTTTTTATTGCAACAGCTGAAGCATAATATGTTCTACTCCAGTCCTTTATTTTTACTCTATATGTACCTCTTATTTTTAAATGTGTTTCTTATAACATGTTGTTGGGTTCTGATTTTGGATCCATTCCTTTGTTTTCATTTTATGGGTGAGTTCATCCCATTCACATTCAAAGTTATAATTACTAGTTCTGTATTTCTTATTTTCCTTATTGTTTATCCTTCTCTCTCTCTCTCTCTCTCTCTCTCTCTCTGTGGATCTGTGAATGTGTGCTTTTATCTGTATATAGAACTCTATTCTCTATCAGAGTAAACTCCCTCTGATAATAAAACTCAGCAACTCACTTCTTTTTTGGGGGGGAGGTGAGCAATTCGGGTTAAGTGGCTTGCCCAGAGTCACACAGCTAGTGAGTGCTATGTATCCACCTAGCTGCCCCTAGCAACTCACTTATAACTTACAGTCTTGGAGAGTTGTCTGAGATAATTAGAGGTTATGGTCACATAGACTGCATGTATCAGAGGAGATTGGTCTAAGTTATGTCTCATGAAATCACATAGGAACACATTTTCAAAAGACCTACATAGGGGTACTACCTTCATTGATGCAAATTGCAATTCCTTCATATCTTAGGAGGTGAATTAATGCATTGCTATAACTGAAACAATTAATCCCCTAGTGTCCAACCTTCTGGTAATTAGGCTTTTATTCAGTCAATTGATAAACACTTATTAAGTATCTATTATGTGCCAGGCACTGTGCTAAGCACTGTGGATACAAATAAAAACAAAAATTGCCCGTGCTCCCAAGAAGCTTACAGTCTAATAGGGGAAAAAATACAGAAAAAATAATCTAAAAAGGGGGGAGGAGTGGAGTAAAGGAAGGGGCGGAAAAGAAAAGGGAGAATAGAAGGTACCTGGTTTAGGGACATGTTGGAGAGTTCCAGAGAAGTTCGAAAGGAGCGTGGCTGGTGAGAAATGATAAGAATTGTGCTACACCTCCTCTTTAAATAGAGGCCCAGGAGCCCATGGCCCTTGTCTCTATTCATAGGGTTCAATCAGAGGGGCAGAGGATATTGATGAGATGTGAGTACCAGGCACTTTCAATCTTGCAGCATAATGAGATTTCCAATAATGAGAATTGGTATTCCACTGAACATATAGTCTGTTTTGGCCAGGTTCATACACAAAGCTTTTCCAACTTATTCATTCATTAATTCAATAAACATTTATTAAGTGCCTACGACATGACAGGAGGACAACTAGGTGGTGAAGTGAATAAAGTGCCAGGTCTGGAGTCAGGAAGACTCATTTTCCTGAGTTCAAATCTGGCTTTAGGCACTTACTAGCTGTGTAACTCTGGACAAGTCACTTAACCCCATTTGCCTCAGTTCCTACTCTGTAAAATGAGCTGGAAAAGGAAATGGCAAACCACTCCAGCATCTTTGCCAAGAAAACTCCAAACGGGGTCACAAAGAGTCAGACACAATTTAAACAAAAGGAATACAAGGGTCCTGTTTTTACAGATGAGGAAACTGTTGCACAGAGAAGGACTGACTAGTCCAAGTTCACACACAAGGCTTCCACAAGTGGTAGAGGTGGTCTTCTGGTCCCCTACTTTTCCTATTATTATATGTGCCCTCTAACCTAATAGCACAAAGTACCTGCTTTTTACCTCTTCTCATTTCACTAATCTGTTTGTCAAATAGTGTCAAAAGACAACTTATTTCTTTTCATTTTACTCTGCTTATTCATCAAATTCCCGAATGACTAAACAGTGTTGAATAATGGATAGATGAAAATCTGGAGAAAGGTATTCAGTGAACCACAACAATGGAAAAGAAAGTTCTTTCTAAGACTTACATGAACTGATACTGAGTGAAACGAGCAGAACCAGGAGAACATCGTACACAGTAACAGCAACATTGTATGACAATCAACTTTGATAGACTTAGCTCTGCTCGGTAATATATGATATAAGACAATTCCAAAAGATTCATGATGGAAAAAGCTATCCACATCCAGGAGTCTGAATGCAGATAGAAACCTACTGTTTTCTCTCTTTTGTTTCCCTTTCTCATGGTTTTTCCCTTTTGTTCTTATTCTTCTTTCACAACATGACTAATGTGGAAATATGATTAATGTGATTGTACATGTATAGCCTATATTAGATTGCATGACATCTTGGGGATGGGGGAGGAATAAAAATTTAGAACTCACAATCTTATAAAAGTGAATGTTGAAAACTAACAATTAATTAATTAATTTAAAATTTTTTTAAAAGAAATTTCTTTCCACTAAAATCTTTGGCATTGGCCAAATGGCGCAACATCAGAAATGGCTATGCTTTTATCAGTGGAAATAACTTCAAAAGATATATTACCATCTGTTTTACTACTGTATCCTGAGGACCACCTTTCCATCTGACTTGTAGCTGAAGTCTTATGTTTGTCATCACTTTTGGAATATTAGCTCCTTGAAAGCAGGGACTACCTTGCTTCTTTCTATTTGTATCCCCAGTGTTTAGCACAGTGCTTTGCACATTTTTTTTTGTCCAATGGTTCAGTCATGTCTGACTCTTTGTGACCCCACAGCAAATCAATACTGTCTGTGGAATTTTCTTGGCAAAGATTGGAACATCTTTTCCAATGGATTAAGGCAAAGGTTAAGCGACTTGCCCCAGGTCACACAGCTAATAAGTGTCCTAAGGCTGGATTTGAATTCAGGTCTTCCTGACTTCAGGCCCAGTGCTCTATCCATTGAGCCTTCTAGCTGCCTCTGCACATACTCAGCACCTAATGACTACTTTTTCATCCCTCCATTGATTCATTCATCTTGCTCAGTATTTTTGTAGGAGAGAATGAAGGAATTTGGATGAAGGAATTCATCCCACAAAAACTGGGAAGCATAGATAATAAGGTAGATAATAACATCAAGATTATAACAGAAAGGATGGAATCAAACAAAATTTAATGAGATGAAGTATTGGACTGAATAAGAATAAATGCAAATTCTTTTTGTTTTTGAGTCATTTTTCAGTCATGTCCAATTCTTCCTGATCCCATTTTGAGTTTTCTTGGCAAAAACATTAGAGTGGTATGCCATTTCCTTCTCCAGCTCACTTTATAGATGAGGAAACTAAGGCAAACAGGGTTAAGCTCCAGGGTCATACAGCTAGTAAATGTTTGTTTAAAGCCTGATTTGAACTCACAAAGACAAATCTTCCTAACTCCAGGCCCAGCACTCTATCCACTGCACCACCTAGCTGCCCTTCCTTTACATAAATTCAAAATATCAACTGCCCAAATACAGACTGGGAGAGATCTAACTTGTTTGGCAGTTCACATAAAATAAGATTTGAGGCTTTAGAATAATGAAAATTCATTGAGTCCGTAGTGTGTGATAAGATTGCAAATGATATTTGAGCAAGTGAAGGATGTAGAACTATTTGTAACTGTAAGCTGTTGTATTTACTAATATTATTAGACTATGTTGATAGAAATACAAGGTCCAGGACAATAAACAATGGGAGGAATACTCCCAGGGTATTCTAAACTGATCAAACCATACCTGTAGGTTTGTGTTCCGTTCTGGGCATCATATTATATGAGGACTACAGAAAAAATAGAGTGTGCCTAGAGGAGAATGATGACAAATAGTAGGAGGAATTAGGAATCTTTACTTGACACTCTCTCTTCCCACCAAGCACCCCCCAGTCCCTGATCCCCAAGGAGGATCTCATCCTCCATCTTCCTAAAGCATTTGGTCTGGACCTGTCTTTTCCCTAACCACTGCCTACCTTAGACCATATTTCTTTCCACATATGTCATATATGCTATAGGGTCTCCCTCTATCCATCCCACAACACATACCTACCCTGGCAGAATGAAAGCTCTCTGAGGGCAAAATCTGTGAGTAAAAAAAAAAGTACAATGTCTCAGTACGGTGCCTCAAGCCTACTAGCACTTACTAAAGTTTGTTGGATGAATTAGGATTAGGTTACTTGAAATGATACGCTATTTTGAAATATTTGAAGGATTCTCTGGTGGGAAGAAAACTAGATTCATTCCATATAGTTGTGGTAGGCTGAACTAGGAGCAGTGGATAAAACTTTTAAGGAAACAGATTTTGGTCCATATAAGAGAATTTTCTAATAATGAATAGTGTTCAGAAATAGAATGGATAGCTTTGGGAAGCCTTAAGTTCTTTTTCCCTTCATACAAGCAGAAGCTGGAAGATTAGCAGCCAGGTAGGTGATAAAGGCAGGTCTGACATGGCTTAGAGAGTTGAACTCAATGATGTGTGAAGCCCCTTGTGAGCCTTAAACTGTGATTCTAAGATAGTATTGTTGATATTTTTCTTTGCAGATGTACAAGTCCAATCCAGCAGCAATGAAAAAGGTGAGGAGGTACCTACAAAGACAATATAAATTTTCTACAAAAAGTGGTGAATGAATAGGGTAAAAAAAGTCTTTCCCTGTTTAGTTTTCTTGTGGCTTTTCATGAACACAGAGTGGCAAGAAGTGGGAACTTCCCATAGATATCTTTTTTTTTTTTAAGTTGTACCTACTTGGCTATTTGTGACATTTTTATTTGGTTTTTGGACCCAAATGAGGATTTAATCTCTGTGAGGATCTCCTGGTATGATAACTCCCTCCCCATTGATGCTCTTAGGAATTCTTCTATAACCTAAGTGTTAGAAAATTGCCAGGAGCATCTGGAGGCTAACTGACTTATTTGTCTACAGTGGCACGTGAGTACATATCAGAGGAAGGACTTAAACACAGATCTTCTTAACTCCAATGGTAAGTCTCCTCCTCTCCACTGCACCAGGACTGCCTCCTTATTCATATTTTTAAGCATATTTATTATTGATGAAGTTGGCCAGAGCAGAGAACTTGAAATCAGGAAGAGCGGAGTTCAAATTCTGCCTCTCACCACCACCACCACCACCAACACCACCACCACCACCACCACCACCACTACTACTACTCACACACACACAATTTCATTTGATTTGCTATTGATGGACATATAGAAATAGAGACAAAGGTAAAGACATATAGAGATAGAGAGAGAGCTTTAAGGTTTCCAAAGTGCTTTACATAAATCTTATTTAAGCCTCACAACTATATTCTGAAGCCAGTAGTAGTGACTTTATTAACCCCATTTTGCAGATAATTCCGTTTCAGAGAGACTTGGTGACTTGCCCATGGTCACACAGTTAGTGTCAGAGGCTGAATGTAAACCCAGGCCTCCTGAATCATGATTTCAAATTATGAAATAATCACAAAAGAAACACAATAGCAATTTACCCAGCGGACAATGGAAAGACCCATGGTGATTTTGAAGAGACTAGGGCATGCTAATGATAACTTATCTGTGAGAAGCTACATAAAATACTTTACTCAAGGTATGTTTGAGTGAAAAGGGAGGTGGATGGATCATGGAGTAAGAATAAGAGACATTGAATGTACAGTGTTAGTGACATATTAGTGCCCCCAGAAATCAACAGAAAAATTAGAAGGCTTCCTTGGCATATACTTTGAAGGCTTTATGAAAAAAAAACGGAGAAGTTGTATGTATTAAGAAAGTACGGTAGAGTTGGAATCTGCACCAGTAGAGATGGTATTACTCACACCATCAAAAACAGACTTTTTAAAGTATTAAATGAAATCTCAGGGGGAACATTGTATAGTAGATAGAGAGCCTCAGAGACAGGAGGACCTAGGTTCACGTCCCAACTCTGAAAAATACCATGAGCCAGTTAATTAGTCTCTAAGTGCCCCCAGACAACATGTAGATGGAGTTCCATCACTAAAATCAGAGGTTCCCAAACTTATTTGGCCTAATGTACTCCTCCTTTTAAAAAAATTACTCAGCCTCAGCACCCCCCTGGAAATCTACTTTCCTTAACCCTTCAATATATATTTTTTAATTTGCATCATTTCAAACTACTACTGCTCCCTGGATTGTTCCAGTGTCCCCCCCAAGGGGCAGGATCACCCACTTTGGGAACCTCTGTAGGTCCAGTCCAGTCTCATTAAACTAAATAAACAATATGACATCAACTGTAATATTGCGATGGACCTAAAAACACCAAGCAAGTCACACAATTAAGTAGATACAAAATATATTTTATTTATAGTAATTTTACATAATAAAAATTTTAAATTATCTAAATGTCATTATCTTCTTTAACTAATGCTAATTTCATATTAAATGCTGCTTTGATGTTAGCCCAAAAGAGCCCCTGCTTACTTTTCTCTTTGTGCCATTCCAAATAGGTTCTCTGTGCCATGAGAGCTTTCAGTTTGTGATACCGGGCAGGAATGCTGTACTGTGGGATTGGTTCCAGTAAGATGAGGATTAAGTTATCAGAACCTTCATGAAAAAGTTTGTGGTGAGCAAAGTAAAGCTCATAATGACACCACTCACTCTGAACGAAGTTGGGGGACAAAATAAAGACGGACTTGTAGCTTTTCTCTATACAGTTTATAATGTTTTCAACAATACTCTTTCCAGGGACAAAGTTTCTTTCATGAAGGCAAATCTTTATGTCTTCATCCTCTAGGTTTGGAAGCAGCTCATGCTTCACCCAGGCAGAGTCCAGTTCACTGTATGAAATAAAAGCATGAAACTGGAATGTTCTTTCAAGTTTGTCTATGGGGATGTTCCTAGCTCTGCGTCGTGTCTGAGTCCATTGAAACATCATCCTCAGATACCATGGCAAGTCAAAGTGGATGCACAAAAAAGTTGCAACAATCATCAGAACTGAGCCAATGATGACAATAGTGATAACCAACAGAACTAAATTACATGACAAGGGAGACAAGTGAAAATCCTTTAACTGTGTCCCCTTATAGCTATCTGGAAAGGCACATTTATATAAATGTGGCCATCCACTTACCATTTTGTTTGATAATGTGGCTATATTTTTGCTAAATTCTCTTAGCTCACAGCTACACAAGAATGGGTTGTCTCCTGCTTGTAGTGACTTAATATTCTGACAGCTGTTGAAGAAGTGAGTAGTTGGGCGGGAAACTGAATTATATCTGATGATCAATACAGAAAGGCTACTAAAGGTACTGCACCCTGGAAGATCAGCTAAAAAATTAAAAGCAATATTTAGCTCTTGCAAAGTTTCCAGATTGGACATATCTTTAGGGATACTCCTGATACTGTTTCTGTGTAGATCAAGCACTGTGATATTGGGAGGTAAACATCTGAAGACAGAGTCAGTGAGCTCATTGGAAGACAAATTTAGAACCAGTAGACTTCCAGTCCAACTGCAGTTTCCCTTACCATCATAACGGATGGAATTCTGGCTTAAATCCAGATGTTTCAGAGACTCCATTTTCTCTGTCATTTGAACTATTTTGTAAAGTTGTTTAAATTTGTTCTTTTGTAAAATAAGTGTTTGTAAGAGGTTTAAGTTTCCACAGTCTTGGAAAAGACTCTCTGTGAAAAGACTGTTAGAAAAGTCCAAATATTGAAATGGGCTAGGCTTAGAAGGGCAAAGCATATGCAACACCTGCGTATTTGATAGTGTTAACATTTTTATGTTCATATCTGAAAAGATACGATACAAAGATGTTTGTGAAAATATATAAACTTTGACACTAAGAAGTTCTATTTTTAGTCCTTTCAGTGAAGTTTCATAATAGCTAAATGGCTCACTCTCAATTGTTTCCACCAATGTTAAGTTGTAAATATAAAGATACTCTGTGGGTTTGTCCCAAAGAAACTGAAGAATTCCCACGAAGCATTTCCAAGTAGTTTCAATATGGTAGAGGGTAAGATTCAGAAATCTTAAATTATTAATTACTTTTGATAAAAAACCATTGAAAATTGAACATTTATTATCATCCAAATTAATATTAGTCAGTTCTAAACTTCTTAAGTTGCTCACTGACATATCCAATTGGACAGAGAATGCTCTATTTGGAGGGAAGATAATTTGTAGTATCTTTGTGCTCAAAATTGGAAGGCTCTCCAATTTGTCTTTTTTCCCATAAAATCTTTCTAGGTCTAACAGGATGTTACTTAGATTCAAATGGCGAATTGGTAGTAAGTCTGATTTTTGTATTCTTGTAGCACTCAGTCCCAGGAAATCTAGTTGGGACATGTTGGCAAATTCCTCACAGATGGGGAGGGCTTCAAATTCATTGAATGAGAGATCTAAATATGTGAGATTCATGAGAGGATAACACAAAATCCTCCATAACTTATTGTGGGATAAATCCAAGTATTGCAGATCCTGGTTGAATTTGAACACCCTGATATCAAGGTGCTGGATCCTATTATGAGAAAGTTTTAAAACTCTCAGCTTTGGTAAAGGTTTGAAGTCCTCAGTCTGAAGCCCAGTTATATTGTTTAGTGACAGATCTAAGACTGTTATTTTTGATGATAGGAGTCTTGGAACATGACTGAGAAAGTGGTTTGAATAGTTGCCCACAAATTCATTTTCCAAAGAGTGTTGGATTCTATTCCCAAGGATCAACATAAAGATGTGAAGAGAATGAAATGTTCTGATGATTGGTGGCCTGGGATTAGACATAGTATTGCAGTGGACACCCTAAGGTTCACCGTCATTCTTCACAGTATCTTCATACAGGTCCAAAATCTAGAACAAAATCCACATGACATACATGTTGAATGAATACTAATTCATAATAATAAAGTTCTGGTATGTTACCCCTATCCCACCCAATACAATAATGGCTGGTGTTTATGTGGCAATTTAAAGCCCACAAAGTGCATACAATACACTAGCTCATTTTATTCCCACAGGCACCTTGTTAGGTAGAGACCAAAGGTATTGATATCCCTGTTTTGTGTCTAGAAAAATTGAGGAGGAGAGAGGTTAAGTGCCTTCAGAAGATAACAGATTTAGCACTGGTAGAACTCTCAGAGGCCATCTAATCCAATTCTTTCATTTCGTGGATGAAGAAACTGAGACTCAGAGAGATTATGTGATTTGCCCAGGGTCACACAGCTAGGAAGTGTCTGGTATGGGACTTGAACCTAGGTCTTTCTGATTCCAGGTCCACATCTTATTTTCTACGCCATACTATTTCTCTGGTGACTTGGTCATCATTACATATCTGACAAGTCAGAGGTACCCAGTTGTCTGCTAATTCTATATCCAGTACTCTATACAACTTACTCATTAAATGATTTTAGACAAGTTATTTAACTTCTCTGTGCCTCAGTTTCCTTACCTATAAATTACAGAGGCAGCATTACATAGGAGATAGGAAGTTTGTCTTAAAGTGAGAAAGCCTTTGGTGCAAATCCTACCTCTGCCACTGTTTGACCACAAACATTTAACCTCTCTGAACCTCAGTTTCCTCATCTGTGAAATGAAATAACTATACCTGTAGTACTTACCTTACAACAGCACTGTGAGGTAGAGACTACAGGTATAAATACTACTTTATCTACTACTACTTTATCTCAATAATAGAGGTAATGCGATGGTAAAAACGTTAACAAAGTACAGTCTAAATCTGGGTATCCCTTTACAAAGTATGAAGGAGATTCTAAGATAAAATAGAAAGGGCAGCTGACCACTAGCTAGCTGAATATTGGTGATGCCCATGGTGGCCTATTAAAAAATGGAATCTGCCAGACTTACCAGTTAAAGATGGAGAGCAGCTTGGTGGGGTAGAGCCATTGAACATGCGGCAAAAGGTACAGCAGGGGATGGGGAGATGAGGAAGAAGTATTTTCTCTCCTCTTGCCCTCCCATTTTCCCCATCTCTAATCTTGCAGTGCAGGTACTTACTTACCCAGGAAGAGACCAACACATCCAGAATGGAACACGGATACATACTATGTCAGGAGACACAGACAGGGAGAAGGATTCAAGGCAAGAAGTAGCTTCAAGGAACGTGACCCTTGGCAGCAGAAAATTGAGTCAATTGTGGACGAAAAGGAGAATTAGCCCCGGCAGCTGGGGGTTGAAATGCAGAGAGGAGAAGACTCATGGAGGACCTGAGGGACCTCCCCAATAGAGATGCTACACCCAGGGTGGAACGTTGTAAAGACAACTAAGAAAAGAAAGGACATTGGGAGCCTGAAATACTGGAGGTATGAGTTGCCTGGGCCAGTTGTATCCATGTGCATGTGCCTCACTATCAGTACTCCCTACATTTATGTCCAGTCTTTCCATAGGCACTGTGTATATTTGTGGGATGGTGTGCCCCACATTTACAGGAGGAATGTTTTGTAGCAATTCTTCTTACTATGCCATCTTAGTAAATGCCTTTGCTTTGCATCAATTGTGTTTACTAGCTGGCTTTTAAAAGTAGCAGTAGAATTTCATGAGCTACATAATTTTAGGAATGTAGTCCCACAGGATACCCCTAAAACCTTGGAATCATAAAACCGAAGACATTCCCATAGTGCCTGAAGGGGAAGCTACTTACATAAAGTTTCACCAGAGAATAGCTCTCAGAGTCAAATAAGATAATGTATGTAAAGTACTTTGTAAATGCTAAAATATTACTTTATTAACAGTCTGCAGAAAAGCAAATTAGAAAAGTATAGAAGTCTTGGAATATATAGCATGGAGGCAAACAGGTCCAACCCACTTTAATGATCTGTGAACACATCAAGGTATTGTAGCAAAACACAAGGTTTACTCATAAAAACAGGGAAATATAGAATGCATTTTAGAAAGTTTTCAGTCTTAAAGGACTTTAGAGTTGAAGTCTTTTTGGCACTATAGAGTTAAACACTTTCAATTGTCAGCATTAAAAGAAAAGATTCAGTACTTAAATGATAATCTTCAGTTATCCAGAAATTGATTTCTCTGCATTATCTAATTATCCAACAATGCCAGATAAATGAGATGTTACTGTAATTATAGATCAGTCTTATCTGGTTATCAAAGTAGATGACAAAAATTCCTTTACTAGTTCCAGTTATTCTTCTGGGAATCTGGGAGGAAATCTGGGAGGGTGGGGCCAAGATGGTGGATTAAAGGCAGCATTCCAGCTGAACTCTCTCAACATTCCCCTCCAAACAGCTTTAAAATAATGCCTCATATCAAATTTTGGAGCGGCAGAGCCAACAAAAGGTCAGAGTAAGACATTTTTCTGGCCTAAGAAAACTTGGGAGGTCCACAGGAGGGGTCTATGACACTGAAATGCAGGCACACATGCAGTGGCAGTAACAGCAGCAGAATCAGCATCAGCTTCAGGAACTCTCAGCCTAGAGACAGTAAGGGATTCAGACAACAGGTCAGAAAGAGATCACAGGGCACCCTGTGCTAACACTGGATATGGTTGACACTGATTGACAACTCTATTGCCCCTTTACAGTTCTAGGTCACAGTTAAAGGGCAGAGAGGAGCACTGGT